CTCAATCCATTAAGTCTGTTTTTCAGGTTTAAACAGAGCAATTTTAAACCTTCAACTCCCTTTTCACAGGCAAATAAACTTTCAAATTAATCCATGACAACAGACAACACCTAGCAAGGTTAGCTCCTCTCTCTTACTTCGACAGCGGTGTTTCACTGACGCTTTTTCTCCTCTAAAGACACTAGCAAAACTACACAACCTGTAACATTTACAGAAGTTTTCTGACAGTATCTACAGTACATTACAGCATCTGAAGAGTTGTGTTTTCAGCTACGGATGGTCTTAGTTAAGCCAAGAGCAGAAACGTGCCTTTACACGAACAGCACAGGGTCCAGTCCTCACCAGGCCTGTGCATGGCTCTGTTGCCCCGAGTCCTCACAACAGTGACAACATTCCAGAACAGGGCAAAGGGCAGCGCGAGAGTGACGAAACGCGCCGCGTTCACAGGTCACCTCTGCTCTGACACAGGAAGAATGCTCAAGCAGTACCATGTCAGGCACAAAGATGGGTATTTACAGGTAATGAACTCTTGAAATCAATCCTCTATGTTTTTGCATATATCTCTAACAAGAGCCACCTACATTCCTGGCTGTGCATCTGTACATACACGGATATTTACTCCTACCTTAACTCATAAATTGAGACACATCACTTCTTTCCAGCAGTTGAGTTCATTAAAGTTAAGCATTTATATATGTTGAGTCATAAGGAGAGAGTTTTCTGGTTGTTGCCGGTAGTGGGTTTTTCTTTTTTTCTTCCTTAAATACTAGCTGCAGTTCTGAGTCAGAACCTGGCTGTTTCATTCTGGGGGTTTTGAAGCTAGTTTCCATTTATACAGTAGCCTTTAGAAGCCAACTTTCTGCCCTACTCCTCTCATACTGAAAGCACAGAGCACCGAGAGGAAAAGGAGATCGTGACTAATCACACCAAGGAACCACGAGGAAGCACCACCAGAGCAGAGGCCACTTCTCTGACAATCCTCAGCCAGCAACGGCTCCCAATTTGCTCCCTCTGTCGCGTCCCACAGCTCCAATAACCTCCAGCTCTCAATAACCAGGTTTCTCCACCAAAGCTTTCCCTTTCCAGGCAGCCCCCAGCCCTATCTGCAGCTCTGCTCTATATGCAGCTCCCTACCAGGACTTGTCTCGAGCCTTCGTTCGGTCACTCTTACACTCCTTTCTTTGGCAACACCAGTGCTCTCCTTCGCTCCTGCTCTGGCCAGAATTCCTTAACTCACCACTTCAAATCCCGCGGGGCAGCCTTGAGACACCAACTGGCCTCCTCACAGCCCTGCCTCCACTCAAATCCCAGGAAAACCACCACATCCTGGACACCCTTCCTCTCCAGCCCTATAATACGGCTTCCCCACCCCACCTTCCAGCTCAGACCTCTGGAAAAATCTTTCTTTCTTTTACAGACACTCTCCAGGCCAAGCACAAGGGAGCCCTTTCCCCAAACACAACCGCAATCTCCATCTTTACCCTCTCCTACACAAGCTCCTACATCTCTAGGGTAAAGAGACTCTTCTCAGTCCATTCTACACGGGAAAGGAAGCTGAAGGACCTCCTCCTCTTCCTCCTCCTCTCAAATAACCCCTTCTAAACTTCCTCCATCCCATCTCAGGTACAAGACCCTTCCCCACATCACCCCAAACGAGTCCCATGAACCAGGAGGCCAGGAAGCATCAGTCAAGGCAGTCCCACAGGCTAGGGAAAAACCCCAAGAGCAGAAAAGACTCTCCAAAGCAGCACCTCCTGCTAAGGGGAACGTCCTAGGCCACGAAGGACACCCCAAACCAGGCCCCCAAACCAGAGAGAACCCCCCAAAGCAGAAAGGACCCTCCGAACCTGCCCCACAGGCCAGCAGGGAGCTCCCTAGCACCTTCTCAAACCAGCCCCTTGTGCCGGAGCCAACAGGAAATACCCCCCGCAACCAGGAAGCACCCCTCAAAACAGGAAGAGCCCTCCTAAAGCCAGGAAACCCTCCCCAAATAGCCCTGCAAGGCAAGGGGATGCCCCAAAGCAGGAAGAACAACCCCCCAACGACTGGCACAGGCCAAGGGGATGTCCCAAACCAAGAAGAGCCCCCTCCACAACCACTCACAGAGACCAAAGGGAGTCCCCAAAGCAGGCAGAGCACCCACAACCCCCCCTGGGCAGGCCAGAGGACCCGCTTGGCCATGAAGGGCGCCCCTAAACCGCCCCCTCGGGCCGCAGGGGCCACTCGAGGCCGGGGGGACCCCCCAGCTCCCCCCGCCGCCGCCGGGCCCGCCCCGGGGCGGGGGCTCGGGCCTCACCCGGCGCCCCCCGGCTCCTCCTCCCCGCCGCGGCCCCCTCACCCTGGGCATTGAGCGCGTCGGCGTTCGTCCGAGCGGGCCCGGCGCCTCCCACACACACGGCGGGCCGGGGGAAGGCGGAGGGCGGGCGGTGGCAGCGGGCCGGGCGCGGCGGCGGCGAGGCCCGTATCGGGGGTGGGCAGGGAGGGGGAGGGCTCGGTGGGGTCCGGTCCGGCCCGGCCGCGCGGAGAGAGCCCGAGAGGCCGCGCGCCGCCACACGGCTCGCCGCGCACAGGCCGCCCCCCCGCCCGCGCGCACAGTGGCACGGCCCGCCTCACACCCGCGGCCCACAGTGGTACGGTCCGCCCCGCGCGGAACCGCCCACCGCGGGATGGAACGGGGGGGGGGGGGCGCAGCCCAACGGCGGGGCGGGCGGCGGCGAAACGGCCCCGCCGCCCCTTCCGCACAGCCCGCCGTGCTGATCCCCTTGCGGGAACCGGCTCCGCCTCCCCGCGGCCGCGGGGAACGGCTCCCGAGCCGCCGCCGGTGCTGGAGCAGCCTCGCTCCGCACCCCCGCAGCAGAACCGGCGTTGGTACAGCCCGCTCCGCCCGCTAGCGCCCCCCGCCGCCGTCCAGTGGAACAGCCCCCCTCCCCCCACCAGGGG